TATGATTAATTTTTCATTTCTATTAACATTTATAATTTATGGTTACCCGTCCTCCCTTCCTGACTAAACATGAGTGCTTACCACTATATTAAATGTAAATATTATAACTTATGAGTTTGAGAAGCAGCCTGAAACCTCCTGCAAAGTATAATCAGAAGCCACTCCCACCTTAATTCATCATCATGCTTTTAGTTTCAAGGAATCCAGAAGAACATGGGAAAATAATTATAATTAGGTGGAATTTTCCCTATGGACTTTCTGAGTAAGCAAAGACAAAAGCATTTTGAAGTTTCTTATTATTACATACTCCATCCGTTTTAAATTATAAAATACTTTTAAATAAAATTTTATACATCAATAAAACTCATTAAATATACTCCACAGCTTTATATTTTCAAGACAAAAATATAAACTTTTAAAAATGTCCTTCATTTAATAATCCATTAACAAAAGAATATTAAAGAGAGAGAATATATGATAACGATAATATTAAAAAAATTATTAATAAAATTTTATTTTTATTAAAATGTCTTATATTTTAAAATGTTAATTTTTTTAAAAAAATATTTTATAATTTAAAACAATGGGAGTATAAAAGAGGCTTAGATTAACGATTTTGAGGCCATGGTATTTTGCAGTCAGCTGATATTTGCAGGTTTCGGAGCAAGGAAAAAGGACTTTTCTACAAGAATCATCCGCACCGCATGCATTGAAAGAATAATTATCCTGCACTAATTGTGGTTAAAAATCCCAACATGATAAACATTGATTAATGATTAGAACATCAAAGTTCTACACAATTTATTGATGCGGCTAATATATAGGTTTCCATTAAATGCCACACTATACTAAAGAAGGTTGCTCTTTCCAAGACGAAAATAAAGAAGAATGTGGACGCTAGATGCCTTAGCATCATCATCAACGCTTTTGGAAATATCTGTGGTGCATAATTGTTTCCTCGAAAGTGAAAATTTTAATATAAAACTTAATGATGATGGTTTAAACTACCATCAGTAGATGATACTTTTAAATATGAATTAAAACAGTTGATACTTTTAAATATAAATTAAAACAGTTGCCGCATTTAAAAAATGTCATGTTTTTTTTTAATAACGGATTTATTGCGTAATTGTTGTGAGTCATGCATGAGAAATTGAATAGACTGAGAGGGAACACTTGCATAAAGAAATTGCAAATATTTTATCAAGAGATGTTATCTTGACATAATTGAAGGAGACCTTGATGTATGTCTCTGTTTAAAAATACTCACAATGCAGAAACATACTGCATAATTGAAGGTATTCCCACACGTCTCACCCTGCCTAAGAAATGATCCGTGACCTTGAATTATCTATTTGCATTATTAGGATAAAGGAACATTAACGAATAATTTGGTTTAGCATAGAATAGAGGTAATAAAATATAGCAACTATATATATAGGAAATATTTCAATACACTAAACAGATTAGTGTTCACCGTCTCCAGTACATAGCATATACTAATTCCACTGTTTTAATTCCCAGTTTCATCAGAAACGTGATGATGATCAAGCATGCCAAGTTGAATAACACGAAGTTGAAGCTAAACTAAGAACAATCTCAACCAAATTAGTAGGCTAAGAGTACAAGACACTGCAGTGACCAATTTCTTCGAAAGAATTGAACCGTTGCGTATTTTATGAATCTTATATGGAATGATGATTGCCAAGAAAAACAAACCAGCTTATATCCGCTTAGCATGCTTAAGCATACAAAAGTTGATCAACCAAACAAACTACAAAATAGCATCCAACCCCCAAAAGTCTTTTTGTGTATACTGCTACAAGGAATAACTTAACTGAGTGGAGGAACGGAAGGAGCTGAGCGATGCCAATGGGGGATCTTTGGAGATATTGAAACTTCCATCAAATGAAATGGAACGAGCAGGGAAATTGAAAAGGCATGAGAAAGTGTTGCGACTTGAGCCCAACAAAGCTCTCCCCAAATCTTCGAATCATGTTGCATCCCTGACATCTCTCAAATCTAAAGCATTATGGCTAAAGATGGAAAACTCCAAAGGGAAGCGAACTCAGATTCCGCTTGCCCGCATGGTTGGTGATTGAAAGAAGCATGAGTGAGAATAAACATACCTAACAAGATACTCGAGGACAGCCAAGAGATAAATAAGAGCTTCGCATCAACATGCTTGGCAAACTTGCAAACCTTGAGGAAGCAAGCGATCCTTCCAATGATGAATTGAAGGATGGCCTTCTGGGTCTTTGATAATGACTCAGAGGTCTTAGGCTTCCTCATGACACCCTTAGTCACACCACCAGCCGAATTCATGTCTTACCTTGATTTAACCATAATCTTTAGATTTTACTGAGGAAGCCTTTGGCTTCACATTGTCACTGTAATCAAAGGTGGAGCCAAAAAAAATTGTTAGGGGAGATCGAAAAACAAAGCATTTATGATAATAAAAAAATTAAATATATATAGATATACATATATTGTCACATCTGAAAAATGCGACGCTGACAACGAGCGAGCGGAGGTTTCGGCCTTCATGGCGGGAACTGGATGGAATGAGAGTCGCCACCAAAATTTTAAGAGAAATCTTGGGAAATCAATTAAAAAAGAACAAGGATGGTCTGCGAAAATAAAAAATAGGTTTGGGAGTCGATTGAGTGTGGAAAAGGTGTTAGGCACCCTACAACACCCATTCGTGAGAACTGTTACCTGAAATTTGTTGTGCTATATTAATGTAGTTTTAAAATTATTTTAATTATTCCTTTTATATTCATGTGTTTGATATAAAAATAATAAGAATTAAGTGGAAAATATTTATTTATTTATTTATGAGGGAAGACTTGACTCAAAATCTGACCTTGAGGCCTACGTACCCTGTGATAAGGATCAAAGTACATGTAGTTCGGGTTAAAAGTTTGTCAATGAAAATATTTTTTTTGAAGAGAAATTAATTAGAAATAATTCATTATTTTACAAATAAAATAATTTTTAAAATTTTGATGTGTGTTTTAAATTGTAAAAAGTAATTTAATTTTAATTATTTTCTTAATTTTTAAATTTTTGAAATAAAGAAAAGAAAAGGGTTTAAAATTATTATTTTTATATTTTATGATTGAAAATTTAAATGCTATACCTGCAGAACTTTATTGGTTCATACAGTAATGCAATCGTTCTAAATATCTGTGGAGATTTTAAAATCTCATACGATAAAAGAGTTTAATAACTCAATTTATTTATATTTTTGATTGTTAGTAATAAATTTTTAAGCATATATATGCTTTTAAAGAATCTTAATCGTCATACCTACAAAGCCTTATTAACTTATACAGTAATATGATTATCCTAAATATCTACAGAGATTCTAAAATATTACACGATAAAAGATTAAATAATATACACTTAAGTACACTTTAATTTGATTAATTTAATATAATATATATATATATATATTAAAAAACTTAATCATTATATCTGTAGAGTATTATTAACTTATATGATAATATGATGATCTTAAAAATCTATGAAGATTCAAGAACGTCACGTGACTAAAAGATATAATCGGTAAATATAATTACAATTTAAATATATTAATTTGGTTAATTAATTTTCTAAATTGTGTATTATATGATTATTTACAAAAATCCTTTATTTATTATAAAAAATTAAAAATCACTACATCTGTAAGGACTTATTATCCCACACAATGATGTGATTGATTTCAGTCTCTATGAAGATTCTGAAAATCTCACATGCGACTTAAATAAATTATTAATTTGGATTATAGAAAGAGAATTAATTTTAATAATGGGCCTTTGAAACCCATATTAACATATAAGTTTTACTCTCATATCTGCGAAACTTTATTAATTTATATGATACGACATTATCCCAAATATTTACAAAGATTCAAAGTCCCATACAATAAAAGGATTAAATAATATTAACTTTAAATATATTTTAATGCGTAATTATATAATGTATATTTTTAAATATATAAATCTTAATTGCTATACCTGTGAAGCTTTATCAACTTACACGGTAGTACAATTATTTTAAAGGTTTACGGAGTTTTAAAAATCTCACATAACCAAAAGATTTAATTAAAAAATGTGATTATAATTCAAATTTATTAATTTAATTAATTAAAATCATAAAAACATTTATTATTTTATTTACAAAATTCATTTATTTATTACCCATATAAATTGCAAATCATGATATCTGTGAGGATTTATTATCCTACATGATAGGGCAATTAATTTGAACATCTACGAAGATTCTTTAAATCTCACATGATACTGTTAAATATTTTATTGATTTAAATTATAAAAAAGAGAGTTAATTTTAATGGTGAGCCATTAGAACCCATCTTAAATATACAAGTTGAATATTCATACCTGTAAAATCTTATTAATTTACATAGTATGCAATCATTTTAAATGCCTATAGAGATTCTTAAAATCTCACGACAAATAGGTAATCAAAATATTTATATTTACAGTCGGTGCATAATATGAATTTAGCATTTAAAGGAATAGAGAAAAAAACCATTTTGACACTTCACCCCCTATTTTGACTTAAGGATGTATTCTTCAAGGTTTTTTAAATTGGCTTAATGCTCAGATATGGTTTTCGAAAGAAAATAATGAAAGTTGTGGTTATAGCATCTAACAATTAGAATAAGCAGGATTCAAATATTATCAATATCATTAATCACCCAATTTATTTCCCCTAAAAATCAAAATCAAATTGATGTCTAAAAATTCTTTGTGAATAAACAATAATCTCATATTAGACATATGCATACTCTTAAATTTCTCAAAATAATATGATCATTTGAATGAATGAAGCAAGCATATGAAATTTTTGAAAGAACTATAAAATTTTAAACAAGAAAGAGCCAAATCAAAGCCATGATCAAGTTGTGTGTGTAAAAAATGACTATAAAGAATGGAACAAAATTATACTTGACATTGTGCATCAATCCCACTCTATTTGTACTCTTGGCAGAATGTTGCTCCTTTCTCTTTAGCATCCATTACAAGACCTTCAATATAGTTTGCCGATGACTCTATCACAACTGGAGTGATATCACAGTTATTTTCAGGTGGTTCGACAGTCAGTTTTGCCACCTTAGCCTTAACTTTCTCCACTAAAGCATCGACGACAGATTCCATTACTAGGACAACCTTGACAGCAGTGCACCTCTGACCACTATAAGAGAAGCCTCCTTTTATAATGTTTGAAGCCACCAAATCAAGGTCAGCATCTTCAAGCACAATGAAGGCATCTTTTCCTCCCAACTCCATTTGCAAAGGGATCATGCCTAACTTCTTTGAAATTGAAATTCCAGTATCTCCACCAATAAAGCTTATACAGTTCGCTCTTGGGTGCATTGTGAGGAAGTCGCCAATTCCACACAAATAAATTCCTTCTCTTCCTCAGATCTCGTGATCCATTCTCTTTTTATCTGATATCTTTGGCGATGGCATCTTTAGAGCAGTTAGCCCCAGCTCAAAATCATCCTGCAACTAATATTATCGGTAATGCTTTTGTTGAGCAGTATTACCATATGCTGCATGAAAGCCCTGAACTTGTGCATAAGTTTTACCAAGATATTAGTAAGCTTGGTCACCCATCTCCTGGTGTGCTTTCCCTCAAACTCGAGAGCTGCCCTTTTGTTCACCTCTCGTCCGTCCTTGCCTCCAAGAGCTAGCTCTCTCTCCTCCTTGATTTTCCTCGCTCTCGTTCCCCTTCTCTCTCTCATTCTCCATCTCTGTTCAGGCTTCTTCTGTGCTCTATTTTTTTTCTCCGTGCTCTCTCTCTCTAGAAGTCCTCCCACATTCTAGTTTCTTCTTCATCTTTACATGGGAGATCCCTTTATCGCTGAAGCTCATGATCTCCCTCTTGTCTTGTCTCTATTCAGATCTCGCTCAAACGCTGTCCAGCTTTCCCTTTTTCCATTTTTCTCTCATCCATTTCCTTCTCTCGCTCTTCTCTTGTCCATTCCTTTGTGGTCTGTGTTTTTTTTTTCTTCGTGCTCTCTCACTCTCCCCTGTGTTCCTCTTCTCTCGGTCTCTTCTTAACTCCATTCTGACGTGCCCACCTTTGCATAGCTGTGTTTCTGTCTTTTATTTTGCTGTGCATGTCTTTTTTTCTTCCACCTGAGTGCATGCATGGCTGTGTTTTTGCTCTTCCTTTTTTGTTCGTGTGTCTAACTTCATTTCTATTTGCTTCTGCTGTTCTCTCTTTTTTTGCTGTGTGGCCGAAGCTTTGGGGCTGTGGTTGCTTGCTCTGCATTTCTCTTTGCGTGTGTTTCGTGTATGAATGCTGCTGCATCTGTTCTCTGGCATTTTCTTCGTGAAGGCTTGGCTATGTGTTTTGCTTTTCTGCCTCTGTGATTGTGTGTGCTTGCAACTCGTGTTTCTGTTTTCTGTTTGTGCGTTTTTCTTTGTGTGTTTTTGTGTTTCTGCTTCTTTTGTTTTTTTCTTGTGCTGTAACGTGCATTACACGAATGAAGGACCAGACTTAATTTATATATTTTAATTTTAATAACTCTTTTTTAATTATGTTTATTAATTTCTGGAATTGGATTAAGGGACTTAAAAATTTAATTTTGGATTAAACAAATATTTTTTAAAAATATAATTCTAAAAAAGATTAAATTTATTTTTGTATTTTTATATTTTTTTCTTTTGAACTAAAATCCTAACTAACAAAAAAATTATCTAAAATAAAATTAAATTTTATTAATTAATTTTTTTATTTTAAAAATATAATCATAAAAGGATTAAATTTTATTTTTATATTTTTTAGTTGAATTTATTTTTATTTTTGTTAAATTTAAACAATGTTTGGATAAAATGCATTATTTACATATGTATCACTAATATAACATAAAAACCTATGTATTTATATTCAATTTTGCATGCGCTCACGCACACATATATAACAAATATATATATTCATTTTGTAAATTTTGCTCGTTAATTTTATTATGGCATAAAAATAATTAATTATTATGCTTAAGATCAAATTTTTAAAAATTTCATCCTCAATATAAATTATCATTAAATTAAAAAAGATTTTATCTCTTTCATAAGTATTGAATAATTTGAATGCATCCTTAAAATATAAAGTTCTATTCAATATAAAAAATTTCATTGCCTGCTTATTAAATTAACTATTTAATTAATTTCAATTAATATGTTATTCTTTCAATATATTTTAGAATTTCTGATATAGTGTGTAACAGACTTGATTTTTATCGTAATTTTTTTTAAAAGAAAACCTTCCCCCCTTTTTTTCTTTATAAATAAATATTTTTTTAAAAAATATACCTATCCAAACAAAACGACATCAAAATTAACAATTACTATTGGGCTTAGGGCAAGTGAAGCCCAATAAATAATTTGCAGCAAGTTTAGGATCCAACAACAGTTTGTAGATATAATCAACTCTATTAAACACACATTTTTTATATCATTAATATGAACAATCCAAAATAAATAGGCTTGACCTAATAGAAAACCATGATCCAGATCGACACGTTTAAAAGTTATCCAGCTCAAATAAAAAGATTAAGTAGTTATAGTTGAATAACCTATAACAATTATTCAAAGTAAAATTTATAAAGGTCCCTAGGTCATGGCAACTATAAGTACGAAATAAATATAAAACCACGTGCCAAGTCGAAAGAAAGGAGCCTAAGCTCACTTTTTCGATGCCTTCCCTGTAGCTCCACTTGACTACTCACTTAAAAATAATAAGAAGTAACATGTGAGATCAAAATCTTAGTAACAGTTGATTATTTTAACATATACCAACATATTGTTTAAAACTAGTTCGCAAACATATTTATAGATATACATATGTATTTCACAACCAATGCAATATTCACAATTATATAACAATTTCTAAGTCAATATCAAATTAAAAGAATAGTGATACATTTCCCAATATCACCCTTATGGCTCCCAACTCTCTTATTATCGCTAGCTGGAGCTTAAACTGAAGTTATACCCGATCAAAGGTACATTGTCGTTAGAATAGGACTCCCCTCCTTAAAAAGGAGGTGCCTATCGTCCCAAAATATCAAAGACATTGGGAATTATAAGAAAAAGGTCAACCATTATATGTGTAGTGAAAAACCACACGGTATAATATTCAATCATCAATCCCAAATAAACAATCATATTACTGGTCATTTTTATTACCTCTTTTGCATCATATAAAACAAATGCCACATTCCACAATAAGATCACACAAGTATTAACACACATACACACACAAAATAATAAAAACTAGTTTCTCAATATATGAAAGGATATTCCAATGTTACCTCTTCTTTAAGCTATAACTAACTTAGACATGTAGAAAACTTCTTAACTACGATAACATATTAATTTACAACATCGAATGATATAAATACCATTAGATATATAGATATAGATATAGATATATATATATATATATATTGTAATTTATCAATAAAATATAAAATTCAAGTAAACTTTTCAAATTTATAATCATATCCTTCCAATCTAAATCCCTCCGATAAAAATTCAAAATTAAATTAAATTAACTTATCTAAATCCCAAAAACATAATTTAATCAATATAGATATCCTATACATAAAAAATCACAAATTTTATAGCTAAAAACTTAATTTTAAATCTCAAATCAGTTAATAGAATAAATCTAAACTGATAAAATTTAAGTACTAATGTATCTCTACTAATTAATAGTTTTTGTTATTAAAAGTCGATACTTGTTCTAAGTTCAAACTTTAAAATTTGCTCTAGTCATCAAAATTTTACTATCATTAGAGAGCTTTAGACCAATAAAAAAATATTTATAAAAATAGTTTTGATAATAAGAATAATTTTGAGCATTCAATCTTATTCAAAATCTCTTCAAATCCCTTATCTTATCCTTTCCCTTCTCTCTCTCTCTCTTGCACTCTCTTACGCACGTGTTTCTATGGGAAAGCAAAGAAGAGCACTTTTATATACTCCACCCACCGCTCGTTGTTCTCATTTATTATTACTATACTATAACTTAACAACTAAGTTAACAAGCCTTAGCTTCTTTTTTTTGTTAAAAAACACATCTTCATATAAAATTATATTCTATGTTACATTGAAAAATCTCCTAATTAATTAATTTATCTTCAAACATTCTTTCTATTTTTTAATAATTTTAATTAACTTTAAAAATTAAATTAGCATGTTACATAGTGCTTTATAAAATTTATCAATAATAATTCTCATAATTTCTTTCATCAAATATACAATGATATTAATGCTTTAAAAGAAACTATAATATTATCTTGTTGAAAATAAATAGATTTCATAACAACTATATCTTCAAGCTACTTCAATAATTGGATTAGACATGCATAAAAATTTCATCTAGTGTTTTAAGACTTGTATAATGTGCTAACTTAGGAGATCGAAAATATATAATCTCTATATTTTATTAAAAAAATTAAAAAGTTAAAAGCGGTTGTAGCCCCTACTAGTCTGTTTGTCTCCACGCCTGACTATAATGGCCCTATGAGTGGCTACTGAAGGAGCATATGAAGGAATGAAAGGCTTCCATTAACAAAAGTGATGAGAAGAATCATTTGAGTCGATGTGAAATTAATATTTCAGATAACAAATGAGAATATAAACTTCAAATTTTGAGAGCAGAGTGTCAATATTTCAGATAACAAATTGGAATTTAAACTTTGAATTTTGAGAGCAGAGTGTTGGGAGAAGGGACTCTCATTTTCTTTCTCTTCTTTTCTCTTCACTTTTCCCATCTCCACCCTTTGTATTATTTTATTAAATAGTTTTTTCAAAAGATAAGATTAATGAAGGGTGAAGATGGGGGAAGTGGAGAGAAAAGAAAACAAAAGAAAAGGAGAGTCCTTCCCGCAGAGTGTTAAGATCAGTCAGCAAAGCCTTAAGAATATATGCATTGAAAACTGAAACATCTCTCTCTTCATTGGTTGACATGCAGCATAATGGAGAAACTGGCAAATATTAATGCTCCCCTGATAACTTGTTGCTTAAAATTTGAATTTGAAATTAATGCTTTCATGGAGAGTGGAAAAAACAATTGAAAAATAGATCGAACCAATGGCAAAAGAGAATTAAAATTATAGCAAAATTGATTGACCAATGACATGGAATAGATTTTGGCCAATTAGTAGACTTCTAAGCATTTAGCACATACACACACTCCTATATGTTGGTGTCACGGTAGGAACTTGGATTTCTATTCAAGGGTACCCCAATCAGATTAATGAGAAAAGCAAACCGACTATTTTTTTATTAGTTTGAAATTTGAAATGATGAAAAGATAAATATAAGATTAAGTGTATTTTTAATCATCTAATTTTACATAAAATTTAATTTGATCTTTTAATTTTAAAGAGTATATTTTCAGTTATTTAATTCTAATATTGTTAATTTTAAATAATTATTTTTTGTGTAAATCCTTATTATTTTAGAAACTTAATACGTCAATACTTAAAAATATTTTGTTAATATCTAAAAGTTTAATGTATAAATTTTTTATGATGAATTTTAATTGTATTAGAACTAAAAGATTAAAAAAACACTTGATAAAATTAAAGGATTAAAATAAAATTTTATATTAAATTAAAGAAAAAATTAATCTTTTAGTCCTTCAACTTTTAAGTCACTTGTAACTCAGTCTCTTAACTATAACTCGCTTATGACTCAATCCCTCAACTTTTGAATCACTTACAAATTAATCCCTTAATCTTTGTTAATTTTTTTCATGTTAGTTTATATCTCACATTAATGAATAAGAAGAGGGTACTTTAAAATAATATATGAGTATTTTTTTATCCCTCTTATATGATAATTTTTTTAAAAAAAATAAAAATAAGGACCGAGTTATCGGTAAATCAAAAGTTAAGGGATTGAGTTGCAGCGAGTTATAGTTGAGAGATTGAGTCGCAATAAATCATAGTTGAGGAATTGAGTTACAAGTGAGTTAAAAGTTGAAGGATTAAAAGATTAATTTTTTTAAATTAAAATACTAAATGCATACTTTTTCTAAAATATAAAAAGAAAGAACAATAGTAGCAGTAAAAGCAACAACCAGTGACTGGTCAAACAAAAAAAAAACAAAAGAAAAAAAAGCAACAACCAGTGAAAACGATGGTAAGTGCAAAATTGAACGTTTGGAACATGGGAAAAGCAGGAACAACACGTCCCGCCAATGTGAACACTCGTGTAAAGGGAATTCTTCAATAAATAAATCCTCTGCCCCCGGATAAAGGACTTCGTAAACTGTGTCACAATAGCATCGATTCTTGGATTAATTTCCCCTATTTTTTACCTTAAAGCTCCATATTCTGCTGCTTTTCCAGCCATGGTATAAAGCATTGTCTCACCTGGCCTAGTTCAATTACTTAACAACGGGGAAAGCCAAGAGCCAAGAGTTTGGCAGGAGGATATGGGCGTGCCTGCATTCTACAAATGGCTGCTGAACAAATATCACAACGTCGCTGTGAAAGCCCGCCAAGACACAGGAGGAACCGTAGACACCACCAATTCTAACGCCGATGCTCTGGTCTTTGATAACTTGTACCTTGACTTGAATGGGGTCATCCACCCTTGCTTCCATCCCGATGATGATAAGGTAATCCATTGTTCTATGTTCTCTCTCTTCGTCTTCCTTTACGCGCGTGTGTGTAAGAGAGAGAGAGAGAGGGAGAGAGTGACAGAAAGTGAGTTGTGCGAACACATTATGATATAAACCTTGAACTGTACTGCAAAATTTGATATATAGCAGATCTTGCTGACAACGTTCGAAGACGTCTTCCACAATGTCTTTGAATACATTGATCAGCTTTTCAACATAGTCAGGCCTCGCAAGCTCTTATACATGGCAATAGGTGAGGGACATGATATTTCATCATCAGAACTAGCTAAAATGCTAGCTAAAAGAGCCTTGTCTCCTGATTCTGTGGTCCATCTGTGAATAATTTTATTCTAATTGATTAAGGACTAAGAAGATACTGTGCCTGTTTCTCATACAGACGGAGTAGCCCCTCGCGCCAAAATGAACCAACAGCGATCGAGACGTTTCCGAGCAGCAAAAGACGCGGAAATAAGGGTGGGTTTGATTAACGTGATTCGAATATTGATCACTTATGATGATCGAGGCTGGATAAATACTCTCTCTCTCTCTCTCTCTTTCGTTTTTCATAGGAATGCGAGGAAGACAGGTTGAGGAGGCAATTCGAATTGGAAGGCAAACAGGTTCTTCCAAAACGAGAATCGGACGTGTCAGACTCCAATCTGATAACACCGGGCACGGAGTTCATGCACAGACTATCTAGAGCCCTGCAAGACTTCATCTTTGAGAAGATAACCCACGATCCCTCTTGGAGGAATATTATTGTGCGTCTTGGGTTTATACACGTGAGCTTGGCATTTCTTTTTCATCCATGATGACTCCTCTCCTCATGACGTTCTTCACATTTGTCTGCATTTAGGTGATTCTCTCTGATGCCAATGTCAGTGGGGAAGGAGAACACAAGGTTATGTCTTTCATACGCAGGCAGAGGAGTTTGCCAGATTATGATCCAAATACTACACATTGCTTATATGGGCTGGTATAAAAATAAGAGTTTGATAAGTATTTTACCTAGTGAAAGCTTCTAACATCTTCCTCGTTAAAGTATTGATGTTGCCATGTTGGAAACTCGTGATGCAGGATGCTGATCTGATAATACTCGCCTTAGCAACACATGAGCCACATTTTTCAATACTACGAGAGGTGGTTTTGAATTTTGATACCTAGAAGGCTAGAAGTGTATTTATTGACTGATTATTGTGAGATCCATTACATTTTACCTTCACATTTGATATGCCATTTTCTAACCGGCGTATGCATGCGCTACACAGGATGTGCTCGCCCGAGAACAGCAACCAAAAAGTGAAGCTATACGTTTTGAGGTATCATATATAATTAAGTAATTGCTTTCACGTGTTTGGTGGATATCATCGGTGTTTATTAATTAGTTTCCTCAGTCCAATTTTCCTTTCTGCAGTTTCTGGACATCGGGTTGTTGAGGGAATATCTTGAACACGACTTGAACATACAAGATCCGCCCAAAGGCTTCAAAATTGAATTTGAGAGAATAATTGATGATTTCATCTTCATGTGCTTTTTTGCGGGAAATGATTTCCTGCCCCACTTGCCTTCTCTGGAAATTCGCGAGGTAATTTTGACCAAATTATTGGCTGTATATGTAATATATAGCTTCAACCCGCAGTTAATTCTTGTTGGTCCTGCAGGATGCTGTCGATTTACTAATCACGGTTTACAAGAAAGAGTTCAACAAAATTGGAGGCTATCTTGTTGATATGGGCAGGGTAAACTTGCTCTAATTTCTTTATATATATAATATAAATATAAATATAAGATTAAAGTATATTTTTAGTTTTCTAACTTTATAAAAAATTTTAATTTAATTTTTTAATTTTATAGAGTATTTTTTAATTATTTAATTCTAACATCGTTAATTTTAAATGCTTATTTTCATATTAATCATTATTATTTTAAAATAATTAAACTTAATATCTCAATGTTTGAAAATATTTTGTTATAAAACTCTTAGTATTTGGATTAGAGGATTAAAAAAATATTTTATAAAATTAAAGAATTAAAATGAAATGTTATATAAAATTAAAAGACTAAATATATATTTTAATCTAAATTTAAATATAATTAAATATAAATTAAATTTTGTTGATTCTGAATTTTTTTTGCGAGCGCTGCATGTGCTTGCGCTCATTATATGGGAACAGGTCGACGAGGGCAAAGCTGCTTTTGTGAAGTTATCTAGAGTCGAAAAATTCATACTCTTGGTTGGCACGTATGAAGAGAAAATTTTTGCAAAGAGGGCCGAAATTAGAGAGAGAGCATTGAGAAGACTTCTGAGAGACTATGAACAGTCTGTAAGTTGAAATGAAATACCTAAATTGGGAACATCCATACGTTCATTCACGGTTCACGACTTTAACTTAATCTTAAATCCACCTAATTCAATCATTCTTATCCAGAAACAGGAAGAAGAGAATGAAAGTTATATCACATATATCGATGAGGAAAGTAGCCCTGCATCTGTTTCCCTCTGTATGAAGCCATCCGTTTCTACCGAGTCAGAAGTAAGTCGACAAGCCTTCCCTAGCAGAACAATTTAGTTAATCTTTACAAATAATGAGAAAAAATGTATCTTGTGTGAAATAATATTTTTATCCAAAATGAAGGGGCAGCAGATTTTGCAGAACACACGGGAGTTAAAAGAAGAATTAAATAAATGCATCAAGCTCAAATCTGATCTCTTTAGGAGTGGAGAGTTCTCAAATGACAAGGCATAAACTCTTGCACAGAGAAGGCCCCTAATTAGTATTTTTGAATGATTCTTTTGTCTTTAGCAGCATTCTAATTTTAAGAAGTAGCAGTTCCAATTCATTGCAGATAAAATTAGGAACAAAGGGTTGGAAAGAAAGATATTATAAAGTGAAGTTCTCTGTGGAAAGTGTTACTGACATCGAATCTAAGAGAAAAGAAATAGTAAGTGTTTAATTATGGAACTTTGTCAGACCGGCGTCTCCCATGTTTGTATTATTTTTTAGTATTTATATTCTGCGGTCAATGGACTAAACTAATAATATTTTCCTTTAGGTCAGTAAGTACACAGAGGGACTGTTATGGGTACTTAAATACTATTATTCCGGTGTTCCCTCGTGGTCATGGTAAGCCCATCGATTTGGAGAAATACCGAACTATTGGCTCTGTAACATTACTTTTATTCATGAATTGTAAGAAATAAGAACTGTATCATGCAGGTTTTATCCGTACAACTATGCACCTTTTGCTTCAGATTTTAGAGGCATGGCTCAGGTAAGAACAGGCTTTCAGAAAGGTGTCCCGTTGAAACCATTTGATCAGCTCTTAGCTGTTCTGCCCCCAAGGAGGTAACTTTTTGATACCAAATTTGATTTTTCTTTCTTTTGAACAATGAGACTGATTTTACTTCTGGGGCAGCGCTCATGCACTGCCAAAATCCTTCGCACAATTAATGGTTGACGAGCGATCAAACATAATTGACTTTTATCCTCTTGGTAAGGTTTAAGTTGTTAATAATCAAAGGCATGCAAAATTTCATTGGCATTTATTTTCTTCAACTTATTTATCCATCTTTGAATTTGTAGAATTTGAAGTTGACGTGGAGGGAAAGCGGTTCGCGTGGCAGGTTTTATCTATGTTTTGATTTTTACTCACTACAGTCATCAAAATCTGTTTTTTGTCCATGTAGTGCAATATGTTTATAGAACCATATATTGCTTGATTCATTTCTGTCGAAGGGTGTCTGCAAACTTCCATTGATAGAGGAAGCGCGGCTTTTGACTGAATCCAGAAAACTTGAGAAGGAATTAACTGTATGGTTTACTTCTTACTCAGTTTTCAAGAACATGAATTGAATTAAAAGAACATTTCTCTCGTCGATTCTAGAGGAATATCCTTGAACCCGGATTCAACGATCGTGTTTTTCAGGAAGAAGAAGCAATAAGGAATTCAGCTGGTTCAGACCGATTATTTGTGGCAAATACCAGCAAGCTGGCGGCGAAAATTAGATCTGCCGGCCGGCAAAATGCAGATCGTAAAATTGAAATGAGCACAAGGTTTGTGGATTGTCACTTCAATGCTGTAATTGATCGATGAGATCCTTTGGATCCCATTACTTGACTCCTTTTTTTAATTCTTGATAGCGATGGAATCGGGGGCTTCATAACTCTCTGCACTGAGAGTGTTGAGGTTAATCCGGACGCTCGAGAAGAATCTGCCTTGTATGATCTCAAAACGTGTCCTTTTAATTTGCCTCTTTTTTTATTCAATTTCGTCAGGTTCCCTTGTCCCCCCATTTTCACGCTCGCTTGATGTTACTTTATCATACAGATGTGCGTATTACGAGCTGCCTGACGGCGGTAACTATATTCCTCGTTTACTTCCGGGCTTGAACCTACCGGAAAAGGTAAAAACCAGCAGACGTTATCTCGTTTAACAGAAGTTGCCACCTGTGCGTTTGACGTCTACGACATTATGCAGAAAATTTGCGAAGATGATATTATGGACACACCACTCTGGCATGAACGCCAATATCACAACGGAATGCAAAGGTAATAGCTAGCTCTTGTTTCGCCCTCAACCTTGATTCCTCCCTTTTCCAATCCACTCGGAATGCAGGGCCGGGAATGCAAACAAATACAAAACATGCAAAACTTATGAAGGAATCAGAAGCGGCTTTCAATGCTCCTCTCGTGCTGGCGCCACTTACAAAGGTGCAGGTGTTGGATGGAGTCCAGGTTCAGGTAGAGGCAAACAAGCCGATACTCCAAGCATGATTGACACGGGACTTATTCGGGAGACGCTATCTCTGGGAATTTCCCATTCAGAGTCCTATCAAAGTGCCAGTCGTTATGGGACATTGCCATTTGCGGCATCCAGAAACAGGTCTACGTGTCAGTCCAGCAACGCCAGTATCTCCACATACAATCATGGCTTTCAAGCTGACGAAAAACGTTTTGCTTGGGGTCGAGGCAGAGGCTCTTTTGCCTCCGATCGCGTGAATTCCTGGAAGTATGTTCCTGCCAAATCTAACGGCTCGAGAAAAGGATTTCCGGATCAATCATGAATATCTAGGGGGTAAAAAAAGTTGAAATGTTTCGTGCTCTTCTATTCACAAATGACTGCTCTTTTGGCTTGAGTTTTGCTATTGTATGATACTTTAAAGCTATGCTCTTGATCGGTAGAAAGCCGAACATAAAATTGGCAAGAATGCTTCGTGCTTGCTAGACTTAAAGAAGCACGCTGGCATATATTTAAGAGAAGTTTAGAGAAAGTAATCTTCGCATCTTTTTATATAAATATCTTGGTCTAGTGAAGCTAAACACATCTTCTCCCTCCACTGTTTCTGCCAGCCCTTGTTTCGATCTCCTTGGGCAAAACACATCTTCGGTTCATTGTGTTGGATATTGGATGGACTCAATTGAACAAGTCAAATTTAATTATCATAAGCTGTAAATAATACCAGTTGATGCATATTTTATACTATGCGCAATACGTTGATACGTTGATGATGATTCCTTGAGCTGAATTCAAGGCCCACAAGCACGTACGAGTTCTTCAGAAATGGGTGCAAGCTAACTTTGCAGAATCAGATTTTGGGCAGGGACAGCACAAAATCAGATGGGGTCCATTCCACAGCATCTATTATATCATAGAAGGAAAACACAATTATCAGCTCCTATAATTTTATTTAATTTTACTTTTAAATTTTATAATTTTTTTAATCTCTATTATTTTAAAAAGATTGGATGACATTTATTTTTTAAATTTCTATAATTTTTTTCTTTTTTTAATATTTTTAATCCCTATAAAAATTGAAAATATTAAAAAACTGTAGAAATTAAAAGCAAAATCTAATGAAATTAAAGAAATAAAAATTATGTTTTACCTATTATATATATAATGCAAACATAAATTTATGAAAAAACACATAATTGATGAGCCATTAAATAACAAGACGACCCGCTTTAGGCTCACGTCATAGTACATGTAACGTAAGTGGTTCATAAGCGCAAAGCAGAATGGCGAGGCGGGGCAACGAAGCGTCAAAAAAGCGCAACGTGCGGGTTCTTTGTTTCTGTTGTACTCTAACGGAAGGCGTGCATGACTGCCAATTCGAACCGACCCGCCTTAATGACTTCCATTGTGAATTACTGCCACTGGGAATCGCAGGTTCGTGTCCAGGACCAGGACGCTGGGAGCTGGGCAGCACTTGAATATTATTTTATCTTTATTATTTTTAATTTTGTTTATTTATTTATTTTTATCAAGCGCTTTCGGCTTCCCTCCACATCTATATCCGAACCAAATTCCCTCCTTCGTTCTGTCCCTGGTTTTTTCCCTCGTCTTCTGCCCCCCCCCCTCTCTCTTTTTCATTTTTCTTACTTCCCCCAAGGCACCCAGATCTCATCCTCTATCTTCCTTATCCAATTTGCCTTCCCCGATTTTGCTCTTCTCTCCTTCACCCCATGCACATCAACTCTTAATCCTCTAACCCCCTCCTCGATCCCCTCCATCCTTTTCCAACTCGATCTCTGCCCTGCATTTCTATCTCGCCTCTGGATGTCGGGTTCTCAACCTCCTTCCACCTCGTCTCAGCAGCCCCAGCAGACTGTGACCTCCGTGAAACGCCAATTCCCATTTTCGTCCCTGAGACCTCCCTTTGTAGCTCCCGCTGATTATCATCGCTTCACGCCCCACCATCGTCCACCGGCTGCCCAGCAAGTTGACCCCATCATTGTTCGCTCCCCTGTGAGTCTTTTATTTCTTTTACGCCGTTATTCTTTTCGGGCACTTCTTTTTCTTTATAATATTTTATTTATTTTTAAAGTTTTCAGTGGTTCTTTTTGGTTTTCTATTGAAATAACCGTGTGAAGGTCCGCTCTGTCTAGACTTCAGACGGTGTTTGAGTTATTATTTTTGTTTAAATGAGTCACTGAATTAGTTATTGGAGTTGGATTTTAACTTGCTCTCATCAAAGAAGGCCGTCCGTTTTTTCTCCCATTCTATGTATTTTTTTCAGGTATTAAAATTTTGGCTCTGATTTCAAGATCATGTTTCGGCTATACAATAAGAACTTCAGTTGAAGACCATTATTTGTTCGTATAATTTCCTCGCATAGACAACGATTTTCTTACATGTTCAAGGGTGTATGCCGTGAGGGCATACACTTTCTTGACAAACTCCTGTAACAATGACACTGCTGCGTGAATTGTAATTTTCACTTTTCAGCATTGGTTTCAGGAAACTCAGCAAATTGAGTGCAGAGGAAACCTTAAGAGTTGTTGAGAAACTATGAGATAAACATGTGTTCGGTTATGCTAGAAATTATTATTTTCACCCACCTGCATAGTTTGGATCACATGTGAAATCAATTTTGTAGTATTTTTTTTCAAAGACGGTTATTATATTAAAATACTTGCATTAAATAAAATGCTTATGGAAATGCAATTCTTGATAGTCCTCTCCTCTCCTGTATAGTCTTTGCAATAGTCTCTAACATGAGTCCTGAAACAAATTATATATACCAGCAATTAAAGCAGAGGAGTGACACAGCTGATTATGAAGCTGATTCTCATGGTCGGGTGACCTCTGGATCTGCTGAAGTTGCTAACAATCCTTTTCAGACACCTACATCAGGAAAGACAGGGAAGGCAAGAAAAGCCTCAAAGCCTCAAACTCCAGGTTCGATTATCGGTGAGTATTATCTATCAAATTTTGTGCAGTACTAGCCTTCTAAATTTATGGTTTTGGTATTTTTGAGGCTTTGTCAAGGTGAATGTTTTGTTTGCCAACTGATCTGCTGACACCTAACATTGCGCCTTCCTTCCTTGGCTTTAAACTGTTGCTTGCAAATAATTTGTATATATATTATTTAGTTGATGATATTTCTATAATTCTTTCAGGCTCTCCTTCAGGCAACAATCTCACTCCTGCTGGTCCTTGTCGTTACGACAGCTCATTATGTATAAATGCATTGCCCATGCCTTTGTTAGTTAATTGTCTATTACCAAGGTTACGATCATTCTAAGTCCTCAACCCTCCTTTCCCCTTGTGCACAAATGTTAGGTCTATTGACAAAGAAGTTCATCAATTTAATCAAGCAAGCAGAGGATGGTATTCTTGATCTTAATAAAGCTGCTGACACATTAGAGGTAACTTTTCTTTTTTGCGGTCTCTTCCAACTGATTCCATGCTGTGACATTTGATTACCTGGTGCTTTGTTATCTACAGGTGCAAAAAAGGAGGATATACGATATAACAAATGTTCTTGAAGGGATTGGTCTTATTGAAAAGAAGCTCAAGAACAGAATTCAATGGAAGTAGGAATTTTCATGATTTATTTTTTGGTTGTTCTGTTCTCATCCAATGTCACCCCGTATGATGAAGCCTATCTCACCAATTCAAAGTTACATCTTTGGTCAGGGGACTGGATGTTACGAGACCAGGAGAGGCTGATGATAATTTTGGTAGTTTACAGGTAAAGAGAGACATAATCTGCCACATAATCTATGCAGAAAATTGTCAATTAAAAATGCTGTGTCATTATATGATTTTTTTGGCCATCAATTAAAATGCTTTCAGTTTGCATCAAATTTGAGACAGACTGTGAAGTTGTGATTTTTATCTAACCTTGGTTCTAATAGCTGAGGGCATCCATGGCTGAATTCTTTTATTTTACTTTTCCTGGTATCCAGAAGCCATGCAAGACTCCGACTAATGCTGGCCTCTTTATTTTATTCTTTGAATGCGTGAAGATATATTTAATTTGTCACCTAAGAGACTTGAAGGTATTATTAATTCCTGCAGTTTTTGATAAGATTTTGCATCTGGTTATTTGTATCTCTCATCTGCAGGCAGAGATTGAAAATCTTACGTCGGAGGAGTGCCAATTAGATGGACAAATAAGGTTTTGAGTCCCATAACTTTCCTGATTCTTTCTCTGTGTTCCTTGTGTGCTATTAATTGAGCCTGAAGTTTTAATTGATTACTTCAGGGAGACGCAGGAAAGACTAATGGAACTTAGTGAAGATGAGAATAATCAAAAGTAATTTTATTTTCTTCACTCTACTCAGACTTGAATCATTATGCCAACTTTTTACTAATATACCTCAATTTGATGCGCTTGTCCGTCATTATAGGTGGCTTTTTGTCACTGAGGAGGATATAAAGGGCTTGCCTTGTTTCCAGGTTAGTTTCTTATCTTCATTAGTTGGAAAATCTCTGTGATGATTATATTCTCCTAGCATCTCATTATGCGCGCGCGCGCGCATTAGCTGTTACACTAAATATAGTTCCTTTTGTCAGAATGAAACCTTGATAGCCATTAAAGCTCCGCATGGCACTACTTTGGAGGTCCCAGATCCTGATGAGGTAATTTCAGTGGGTATGAAGATTTGCATTGGAGTAATTGGTCTCGCTTGTATCTTTCTCAATGTCAATTCCCCATGTACTATCAGGCTGCTGATTATCCCCAGAGGAGATACAGGATAGTCTTGAGAAGCACAATGGGCCGGATAGATGTTTACCTTGTTAGGTATTTTTTTTTTTTTTTTCTGGTGACCACTTCAAATTTAGTTAACAAGCTAGTAGCCTGTGGAAGTTATGCAGTTGGAAATTAGAAAAGTGCAATGAAATTGACATTCTTTACCTCCCTACTGTCCCTACCATACCATCTTAGTCAATTTGAAGAGAAGTTTGAAGAGATTAACGGGGTTGATGTGGCACCCAATCTTCCATCCAGTCCTGAGATCAACAAGCATCCAGCAACGGAAGCCAGAGAGGATGTGGGGAAGGACCTAGGGATGCAGGGACAATATGATCATGGAACTTTTTCAGATTATAGTGCCTCACAGGACTTTGCGGGTGGGATCATGAAGATCGTTCCTTCAGATATTGATGTGAGTGTGACCTGAATTTAAATTCAGTTTACTAGAAAAATCCTGGGTAGAAATACGTATATTACATATTATGAAGCATTAATGAATGAAAATATTTCTTTCTCCCTTGCAGATAAATGCTGATTACTGGCTTTTATCAGATGCCGATGTTAGCATAACAGACATGTGGAGAACAGAACGTATCCTTTCTGAACATCTTATAGTCTTTATCATAATGGGTTTTAGTAGTTTTAATATTAAGAAGAAGTAATTTTCAGCTTTGTTTTGAAATTCCTTGATGCATCTACAGCTGGAGTTGAATGGAGTGAACTTGATGCGCTGAATGAAGATTGTTGCATGAATCATGGGAGCTCACCACGACCCCAGACTCCTCCTTCAAACACAAGTGAAGCGCCGCCTTCTGCTAACCCCAAGGGAGGTTGAAGCTTGCAAAGGTTGGACACAAGGGCAAGTGCTATTTCCCGCCAAGAGAAGTGAGGGAGCCTATGACATCCAGGTTTGGATTAAGATTCCTTAAAGATGCTTGCTCAATGTTTGAGGTCAAAGAAAGGCCTGGCGGCGTCGCTCAATTCTTCTTTGTATGTCATTGTAAATTTTTATAACATGGTCAAAGATTAGGGTGCAAGCAGATAACTATGAAATCCCAAGTCTATCTGCTTGCATTCTAAATCTATCTGCTTGAACCCTGGTCCTTTAGTTTTCCAATATAATTTTGATTCCAATGAGAAACTTACTAGCAATTTTCCCTAAACACAAAGTGTGGAGTTAGATGGAAACAAATCATGTACAGTTAACAAATTCTACATATTTGAGCTATTTGTTTAAAGTTTATAGTTGTTTTTAAAAAAATATATCTACAGCTAACAAATTTGGAGAACTTTAACTCGGTTTCTTGTATGAATTCTCCAAACAGTGAAGTTATCATTGATATTAGAATTAGAATCTCTTTTCTCGACCTTGTTGTGCTTCATCGAGGAAGCACTCCCGTTCTCCGACTGTGGCTTACTTTGAGATGACACGTACAGCCTCCGGTTTCTATATCCTTGTTAAATTAGATTTTTTCCCCCCATCACCGTTTCACAAGTTCAAGTCAACAGTTCATGCCGTATTAACATATTGACATGATATTTTGTTGCATACCGCAAATACAAAATAAATAGCTGGAAAAAAAAAAATACTTTTATCATAAGGCAAGACGAGGATCGCGATTGGCAAAATAAATAAAAAGAAAACGCATGAAAGGTATAGAAAATTATATGCTGCGTGGGTTACACGCCAACCCTTTCGGTCTTTTGATCGTTTCTATTCATTCGGAAGTTGTTATTTTTTTTATTCTAGGGTTATCTTTTGATCTTTTTTTTTTTTGGTATAAAGATAAGTGTTGACTCTAAAAGCGATGAATTATTAGATATCAAACTCTTCCTTCGTTGACGTAGGACTATTACTTGGAAAACAAAAATAAATCTATTAAAGAAATATAGGTATTTATAATAAATCCAAGGAAGAATCTTATAATGGACAGCGCCTTCTCGAGGATTGTTCACACTTCACATAATGATGAATCCCTTGTCCAGCTTAAAAGCTCAACTCAAATGACTTCGGATATAAAACGCTTCCGAACTTGTGAGTCTACAAAAGTTCCTCTCCAGTTCCACAAGTATCTTAATTCTCACTATCTACACATATACCTTCATTTCCCACATAATCATCTCAGGCAAACACAAAGCCAGAGTCTCTGTAGTCATCAGTTAATGTCTCCAAATAAAAGAAAGCTTTTGAGAGCTCTTTTCTCAGCAAATGGAGGGTGTGGCAACTGCGGCACACCACAACCCTTTGACGTACACGACCCTACCCCTAAACCTAAAGTATCCTCCCATCCACACCCAAATCCCACCATCTTAGCTTCACCGTCCGTTTCCGATGAAAGCAACGGGCCTATCGTCTCAGTCTCAGTCGACGAAGATGACGTGAAATGCACTACCTCCACTGAGGATCAGAATAGGTCCGAGAATTCCATAAGCGGAAAACTGAGCGGCAGCATCGTGGTGGAGATGAAGTCGAAAAACCCTTACAAAGACTTCAGGGAGTCCATGATCCAGATGATAATGGAGAGAGATATATACTCTGCAAGTGAGCTTGCAGAGCTTCTCCAATGGTTTCTTAAGCTGAATTCCCCATGTTACCACCATCTCATCCTCCAGGCTTTCTCCCACATCTGCCAGGACGCTCAAAACTTCTCTCTCTCTTAACTCGCCTAGCTCATCCATGGCATTATTATGTTGCTTTTGTTCAAATCATTTTCATCCCTTTCCGCTTTTCTTTTCCTCTGCCGATGCTATGAACAATTCAGCTTGTTTTCAGTAAAAGCAATGGCTGAGAGAACCACCTTATAATAGGTATAAATAAATTCTTGATGCTTTGGGATTATTGTTCTTATTCTTGACTTGTTTTGTCAATGTGGCCAGTTTTAGGCTGAAGATGTATTAGGTTGCACCTCGATTTAATTGTGTGCATTTAGCGTATAAAAATAATTAATATATAGTTTGTAAATTTTTCTGTGTGATGAAAGATAACAGGATCATTATAAGCGTATTTCATTAATAGGTATAAAGATTTATAACTAACGGAATCTGCCGGCTGTCGATTTACTATTGTTGGTACTCAATCTTTTCCTACTTCTATTTGAACCGCCCACCTTGTCTTTGGACACGATACCTAAATTAATTTAATTCCACATTTTATTACCTTTGTAGATGAAAAAATAGTATAATTTCGTTCATTAACTTTATAGATTATTATATAGGGATCTTGTATTTAATTTTTATTTATTTTGAGTCATACATCAAGAAGTCTCACAATAGAGTTTATAAGTTTAAGGAATTCTCCTATCTAAAACAAGTTATTTTTTTAGAATGAGTTTTCGTTTTATTTTTATTCAAACATTAATATTTTTATTGAAAGGCTAATGTTATGGAAATGATTGCTTATAGAGGGTCCTAACTTCTAACCAACAGAAGACCAGATAAGGCATCATGGAATGGAATCAGCAAGGACACGATCTCTCAAATAGAATAGTCTCCCACTTAATAAGTTTTTTTTTTTAAATGAGTTCTCTCTTGATATTTTTATTGAAAAGTTAATGTCATGTGTAAAAGGCTATCTGCAAAGGATTTTAATTATCAAGAAACTCAGTGAAGTATCATGAAGTAAAGCCACCAAAAACATTAACTCTTGATAAAAATGCTCTTCTATCTAATAGGCTAGACTTATAACACAACTATAATTACTAACTTTACTCTGCAAGCATAAATCATAACTAGACAAATATGTAAGGGCCAGTCGAAGCGGTGTCAGATTATATAATCAATTTTCTTTTTAATATATTAACTATTACAAAAAGGCAGTTATTATTTATGAATATGACCCTTTTTTTTTTTGGTGCGCTAGAGAATATGACGTTATTATCATTAGAATACAAAATTTGAACCCACCCCCTCAATTAAAATTCCTAAGCCTCCAAACTCATAAAATCCGGAACTTGAAAAATTTTAAACCCGAAATCATAAACCTTAAATGCATAATCTCTAAAGCTAGATCCTATAACACTCATGAGATGAACTGATTTTTGGATGCCATAATGATATTATAACCTGAACTTTAACTTGTTCAAATCCAAAAACGGTACCAAAATCCTTTTTCCCCACTCACAGGCCCCCGGGGGAAGTTTGTCTGTAAAGATCAGAAGGAATGAACTTTGACTTGTGCCAGTAGAACAAAAAATTTTTGGCCGAAAAAAAACAATAGAACCAAAATTTTATTAAATCTCTTTTGGGATCTCTTCAAAGAGAGACTGGGATCGCTGCCCGGCCGGTGGCAAGAGAAGCGCTTAGCCCAAGTTATAGAAAACTGGACAGGTAATTAAATCGATTAAGAAAATAAGTAAGGATTATTAGTTCAATCAGGAGTTAACTTAGAGTCAAACTATTATTAATTAAAATAATATAATATAATTTATACATATAAAAATATTCATATTTAAATAAAAATAATTAGTTTTACTTAAATAACCCAACAAAAATTCAAACAAAGAAAGAAAAAATTTATACATGTAAGCACAATTTCAACCAAAATTTTGCAAATTCAGTAAAATCTCAGTAAAAATTAAATATTTTTTTTCAAATAAATTGATCGTGCTGGCCAGGTCATCTTCAAGTTACAACTAAATTGATCAGGTTACTTTTGGATCAATCGGATTAACACTACCTCAACTTAGATAATAAATCAGACTGATCAATTAATCGATTTATAGGGTTATCGATCGAACCAACTGATGCGGTATAAGTTTTCATTCATTGATTAGCCTACTAATTAATAGATAACAGCAAAAATGCACAAATTGGCCCATTTCTCTCTCATATTATAGTATTACACCCCTGGCAAGTCCCCAATTGAGGTGTTGTTGCCCTAACTTGATGAACGCCGCTTCCAATCCTCACTCTTTGTTCACTCTTTCTCAACCCAGAGAAACATACAATAATCATCCCATAATTCCGATTTCATAATTCATAGTTTCCATCAATTAATTGGAGTTGTTCATAAACTAATTTCACTATTTTCTGAAGCAACAATTGACAAACCAGTTTTGCTCATTTTTACCAAAAGAAAGGTTAATGACACCAATTTTCATTTCATATAACTAAACATACAAGGGGAGATGAATTGAATAAATTAAATTTGCTTTCTCATTGGCAGAAAACCGGCTCTAAGCCATACAGTACACCCGCATGTTTTTGGGGTCCTTCCTTCCCAAAGTAGATATCTCTCATTTTCTGAAAGGCGTGCCAGGTCAGTAAGCTGTCGGACCCGGCTTGGTGGCATTTCCCAACCGCCCGGTCCACATTGAGGGTCCGCGCCACCCGGTCCAACCCCCCGTACAGGCTCTCACTACAGAACCGCATCATTTGCTTCACGTCATATACACTGTTCCCAAAAAACGCCCTCAATACCAGCAAGAAATCTTCCAACCCGTTCGGAAGGACCCGGCGGGTCAGGATCTTCACCAAATACCCGAAATCATAGGCGCTGTGGAACGTTACCCAACTCACCGAGTGGTTACACACGAGGCCCGACGACATCATCAACTCGGCAAAGCGGGTGGAGTCGATCCCGTCCTTCGCGTTCCGATCGAAGTCAATCCCCTGCTGCCGGAGCAGGGCTATGGAATCGGGAGCGTACGAGTCACGGGCGACATCGAAGTCCTTAAAATTAAACTCCCAGATGTAGCGATTGGCTGATCCGAGGTGAGGAAGGTTGCCGTGGGCGTCGGAGAGGGTGAGGCCGAGTTGGATGAGGTTCAAGGCATCGACGTTGGACTTGAGGAAGCGGTAGTGATCGGACGGGTGAAGCTGACGGTGGCGAGCGGCGGGGTGGATGTTGGGACGATAGATGACGCCGGGGAATTCGGTGTCCATGGAGATGAAAGGGTAGCGATCAACGAGTTGGCGGATGAGGTGAAATTCGGAATCGAGATTGGAAGTCCATACTTGGCGGATCACAAGGGGTTTGGAATCGGGATCGAAGCCCATGGATCAGGAGAAGAAACAGAGATAGAAGTTGTTGTTAATGGAGACGCGAGTGTTGATTTTGGAAGCGGATAGAGGGAAGGAGTTTGATTTATAAGGAGGAGGTGGAAGTTACTTGGAAAGCTGGAGATCACGATTCAAGTGGATAGAGAGAGGGTGTCTAAATTCAACGCGTCAGAAACGGGCACTGATCCGTCTCGATGGCTTCGAGTTAAGTTGAGACTTGGTCCACCTTAGCGCTTCCTCCTTGACTCAACTTGATTGTTTTCATCTGTCTCTCGTATACTGCCTCTTTGTTCAGAGCTACGAAATATTTTTAATTAAATTTTATCTTTAATAAAATAATTATTTATTTTTAAATTAATTTTATTTTTTATATTTATTTATATTAAATACTTTACAATAAATATAAAATTATTATTATTAGAAATATTTTAAAAAAGACTAAAAATATTTTATATTTTTTTTAACATTCAGCTTTTTAAAAAATGTCTTGTATTTTTAAATGGAAGGAATAACTAATAATTTCATGATATTTTTTATTTCTTTTAATATTTTTGCATTTTGTAAAATTAAATTTTACAATTCATACATGACCATCTTATAAGCAAGCTAACGACTCGCAGTGGTTTCAATTTAATCGATGCTAGTTGCTGATCGTTTCTTCTTGTTTTTTCCTTGATTGGACAAAAAAAAAATGGATATTTATATCTATTAAATAATTCTTTAATTAATGATTATATAAAAAATAATTTTAATTAAAGGATAGTTGCATTTCAAATTAACAATACTAAATAAAAATAGTTTTTTTATTGCTGTGGTTACGGTTATTATTTTGTGAGTTTGGTGATTGATAGCCAAGCAGTGACCTAATGCGTGTTTATTTTTTGTTAGTTAAAAATAAGTTTGTCAAAAGCTCATTTAATAAGAGTTACTCTCTCATTTTTTATATATAAAAAAAAATTTTATACAATTTAAAAAAATTGGCTAATTCTAAAAATTATGTTTAAAAATAAAAAATTAAATTAAAATATTTTTTGTTAATCAACATAAACATGCATTAATTATTTTTTATTAATGTAATTTATAAGAGGTGATTTACGAAATGTGTAATAAATACTTATTGAAATAATTAATTTTACTTATATAAAAAAATAAACAAAAAGCGATAATTTTTTTTATAAATAGAAGAAACAGAGTACTTTAGTAAAAATTAGTTATTGTAAGAAAATTTATACTTGAATATATTTTTTAAAAAATTAATTTAATAAATTAAAAGTTGTTTAAATTATTAAAAGTGAAATGTAATTTTTAATATACAATTACTAAAAAAAATCATCAATTTATAATCACTTGCAAATTTTATTATATAAATATAGCATAGATGAAATGTTAAAAAATATGATAAAAACTTTGAATAACCTAGAATCTGATTTTTTATATAATAAGAATATAAATATAAAATTTGATTTATTTAAATATATAAAAAATAGTTCAACATATATTAATATTGAAAATTAACATGATTCAAAAAATATATATAATAATTTTTTATTCAAAAAATTTAACCAACTTGAAAAACTTAATAAAAATTTTAAATAACATAAATTTGATACATTAAACAATAAAAGTAAAAAATATAAAATTTGACATATTGAAAAAAATTAAATAAAATAGTTGAATATACATCATACTAAAAATTAACATAATTAAGTTGCTACTACTGCTAAATTAACATGATTATGCCGCCGCAACCACAACTATTACTACTACTAGTAGTATTATTATTTAAATGATGATTATATTTTTTAATGAATTAATAATATTGTTTAAATAAAAGAATAGTATATTAAAGAGATAGCATGATCAAATTTTCAAATTTACTTTTAGTAAAAAAAAAATCAAATTCACTTTTCCAATCCTTTTTAAAGTTACTTTGGTTAAATTCACTTGCAACAACATTTTAAATAAACTTTGGTGTTTTTACGTTATAATTTTTTTTCAAACAACTTTAAACTTTTAAAAAATGTTAAAAGAATTTTTTAAAGGGCACTCAAACACACCCAACTGAAGCTTTAGTCCACTTTTTGTTAACATTCGTTGGATGAAAACAGTCAAAGGGGGCTTGAATCCTCGCAGTGGTGTCTTTAAAAAGGTCCCACTAAATTAGTGGCATTTGTTAATGTGAAACTGACATTGTTTTAAGGGAATAGGAATAGGAATAGGAATTCCGTCCCCTGGCATTTGTTTTCTTTAACAGTGGAAATGGAATAATTAACAGGGCGCTTGTTTCGATTGTGTTAATGCAGCATTCCATAAAACAAGAGTACACGAGAGGGAAGTGATTCCCATTCCGTTGCAATTTCCACGTGAAAGACATGCCTGAGAAAAGGTAAGTGGCTGACTAAATTTCGACGGATGGTCCCTCCCCGTCCCAAAGGCGACCTTATGAATTTGATGCTGTCTCCCTATTGGCCATTAGATCTTGTTTCGTTGTTTTAAAAATCTATGAATTTTTGTCTTCAACCTGTGACCTTGATAATTAAAATATTCTATTTATAAATCATTTTTAATATATTTTATCATTATTAAAAAAAATTTAAAACATAAAACTCATTAACTATGTTTTAAAATTAAATAAATTTTTAATTTTATTTTTATTAAATATACATATTTCAATAACATATTTTCTCTCTCCAACATTCAATGAAGGATAAAAAAAAATTTATAATAAAAATTTAATAACGTAACTTATAAATAGGATAAAAAAATTCTTCTCTTTCTATCCTATAAATAAGACTAGAGGAAGTACATCCAAATTATATCTGAAATATACTTTTATTAAATTTAATAAAGAATTGGATTTTTCAAGCATACTTTTATTAAATATAAATTGAAATTTAAACAAGTAGTAAATCTCTGTCATCCCAATTCCGAACTTTAGATGACACAATTGGAAATTTTATGCATAATTTCCTAAACACATTATGGACAGTAATCCTTTTTTTGCCCCCTTCTCGCCTCATCTCTACTTTTAGATTAATAACTCAACGGTTAAAGTTTAATTGAATTCATTCATTAATTTTAATAATATTTTACAGTTAGTTTTTAACTGTTAATGTCAAATTTTAATAGTTTATATTTATTTACTTATTTATATTTTATTATAATAATTTTATAAAATATTAAATCCAAACCATTGAATTTTTATTCTCTAGTGAGATGAGATGAGATGAGATGAGGGGGAAAATGGGAGAGAAAAATACAAGGAGGGATACAAGCCTTGAGAAATGATGGACTTCGCAATTTATTTCAAGATAAGATAAGATTCGAAGGCTAATGGCGTAATTGGAAGGGAGGCCACGTAAGATACCCTAAATTTGCATAATGCGTTACTGATAATTTACAAACGAAACGGAATCTCTCACAGGTTTTCACTGGTCTGATACTCCCCAGACCGATTTGTTAAAACGATACTGTCCAGACCCAGTAAGCACAAATATAGGGCTATCAAAGTTAAAACGAAGAAAACACATAAAACCGTTCGTTTTGTTAATGTGCCCAAGAGGGTGGTAGTCTTGGAGGGGCGTTTTGAGCTTGGAAAACCAAGTCCTGCAGCAGCAGAACGCGTTGATGATTTATCCACCTTTAATCTAATTCTTCGTTGCGCTGTGCCTTGGAATGGAAATGTCTGAGGAGGATCCTGCGATCTTGTGTGAGCCTCTTGCGACGTCAGTGAAGATTCATCTAATTTGATGATATCATTCTTCAGTATCTCAGCATAACAATCCTCTTCATCCACCTCCTAAATTAAATATTGAACAAACAGTCTATTAGCATTCAAAAGGGCAAGAACTCGTTCATCATTCTTATTTAAACTACCTTTTGGTGACTCGAAGATTCTGTCACAGCAGCGTCATAATTGGCTGTCCTTTGATTGGATTCAGAGGCAGAATCAATTTGCTCCACTGAAGGAGAATCGTAACTGCAACTGCTGCGCTTTGAACTGCATCCGACCCCTTTATCTTGTTCGGACACACCCCTTTGATCTATCTCAGCTTCGGAGATAGCACAGTTGCTTTCATGAGAATTCACTGCCCGTTCTTGACTTGAAGATGCTCTGTTTGAAGCATCGTTCTGGCGAAACTGTGTGTTCCTCTTTAGCCGACAAACAACTAAAGAATCCTGAAACACAAACATTTCTAGAAGTCAGTTTCAAATAAATACGTCAGATGTGAATTTCGCTGAAAATTCTGCTATCCTGATTACGTGCATGTCCATTCAAAAGTTCCTCGTCTACATGGTAGCTTAAGAATATTTATCAAACCCATTCTCACAGCAAAAGGAAAGTGGAAACTAAAAACTGGATTTGATAGTCAATTGGTCACCTGAGATTTGTCATCGACGCAGTACTCGTGCATGATCCATTCAGTCCTTTCTCCTTTTGGGGCACGACCCATATGGAATACCAAAGTTCGCTTGGTGCCGATAACATTAGAACCTGACTTTACGTTGCGCTCTTTTCCAGTGGCCTTCCAATAGCCACATTCAGTTGCCCTCTTACTCTGTGAACCATTCGGGTACTTTCTTCCACGAGGGGAGAAGAAGAACCACTCGTTTTCTGATTGAATGAATGATTTGGCTGCTTACAAATCAACCAGCACTAATATGTCAGCAGGGAAATGAGGTTCGGTAATCTGGATACGGAACAATTCTGAACTTCATTGTACTTCGGTACTTTTTAATGAACACTATTGAATAGCCATGAGAATGAGTTACCAGTGGTTTGAAGTCAAGAGCATGCTACATATTCCTTTACTTTGCTATAATTTAATATCGACCTTGCTTTTCAATTAACATGCAAAAATATTAGGTCAGTCTTGTAATTTCATTTCAAGTTTATCTTCCTGAACTGTTAAAAATCAAGAGCTGACAATCTCTGGTTCCGATTGGCCAATCTATTGAAAGCACCAAAGTGGGAAGATAATTGAATTGAATCCCAAACACAAAAGAGAGAATGGGAGATTTTGATGTAAGAAAGAAGAAAGATAGAGAAATCTGACCTGGTAAATCCCAAGGCTCATATCTGCAAATCTCAACCTCAGAAATCACTTGAACGCTCTCTTCGTGTCCGCCCAGCTTCTTCCTGAGATAATAGGAGATCAACTCTTCGTCGGTAGGACAGAACCTGAATCCAGGAAACATGGACGAAGCAGCGATCGACATGTGCGATTCCCTGGAAACCACATCGGTCATTCTCTCCTGTCCTTGCATTATTTTATTTTTCCGCGGAGCAGCAATACTTTTAGGTTCAAAAAAGAAGGTGCTTCGGGAGGAGGAATCGAATCGGAAGAAAGGTGAGACGCAGGGACTCCGCTTGTGAGGGGTTATTCCTTAATTTGTCTGTATGGCTCTGCGTCAACTCTGCGATCGCGATTCGGGATTGTGCTTTGCTTCTGTGCGCCAAAACCAAGTTAACAACTGTGGCCTGCTTCTTCGGGAGTCGGGTAGAGGGAGGCCTGGGAGAGAGTCGGCGGCCGAATGATAATTTCACCGCCACGTAGGACGGGGGTTGTACGGATAGACATGGTTACGTGGCCCGTGCTTTTTGTGGGCCAAAAACTCATGTCCCTTGCATTGCTTCTCGCCTCGCTTTCCGAGGAATCCCACTGCTCTTCGCCATATCGTATAGGTCAAGGCACTACTATTTATCGATCATTGCTGCAACGCTTCCAAATACTGTCGGTACTCCCGGATGATTGAAACCGGAATTCGAAGGATCGTTACGGTGGGAAGGGGAGGCGGCTATATAGCCGTTGTTTTGTGAAACGTCTCGAACACGGGCGTGCTGTGCGGTCCTAAATTAATGTACCGTCGTGCTGTTGCAGCTGAACAGAGGCCACTATTCAGATGTTTGAGTCATTTGGAAGTATATGTAATAATGCTACGATCTGTCATGCTGCAAGGGCCGGTGCTATCTCACATAAATCATGCACCTCAAATATAATTGCTGTCGTTAGGTATCTGGCAACGTTCATTTGTAGATTGAGTGCATGTTGTGGTTTTTTTTGGTCAAAAATCACTTTGTTAGAAATTCGTTTAACAAAAATTAATTTAATAAAATTGATTGTTGTAAGAAAATTTATATTTAAATATATTTTTATTTTTAAAAATCAATTGAATCAATTGAAAATTATTTGAATTATATATAGTTAAATATGTTTTTGGATGTATAATTTTTTATTTATGATGATTTGAAATTTGTTTATACAGATATATGTTTAAAAATATAATAAAAATTTTAAATAACACAAAATTTGATATGTTAAAAAATAAAAAAATAAAATATAAAGTTTGCTATATTAAAAAGAAATATATAATAAATAATTCAACCTGCAATACTATTAAAAATTAACTTGATTAAAAAAATATTTATTATAAATTTTTTATTAAAAAAAGTTTAAATGGGTTAGGTCTCAAGGGCTTGACGGGAGTTAAAACATTCATCCAAAATCAAATAATGCTGAAAACTTAATCTCTAATCATCATTGTTGTTATTATTATTATTTAAATGATTTTTATGTTTTTAATGAATTAACATTATTTTTCGAATAAAAGAATAGAAGGTAGCATGATCAAATGCAAAATTAAGTGCATAGTCATTAATGATCCCAATGTCTATTGCGTTTTGAAAGAGTTTAAAAATTAACTTTCAATGATTCCTGAATGTACATTCCAAATATCCATTTTCCTCATAAAAAAAATATCCAAACAAGTGAACAACTTCTCACATTCAAAAAGTGATAAAGCGATATTGCAACAGGCCTGAGTAGCATGTTCTCAGGGCAAACGCCATGGGATCCAAGGGCTGGGACAAAAATTAACAACCAGCACAAACAAATAACCGGAGCCAAAATTGTCATTTATCTCTTTCTCGGGTATAGCACGACGCGAAGACAGGCGCTGTACTGATGAATGAACCTTTTTAAACACTTCAAAGAAGAAGGGGAAACAAGCATTATGAATTGAAAACATAAGCAATAGAACCTATATTGATATTCTGCCTGCAGCCTCTTGCTTTAACTGACCTCCTTCCAACAAAAAACTTATCTCGGCTTCGCCGCCACCATCCTGCAAAGGCCTTGATTTAGACCTAAAGTTCTCAAATTCATCGCTTTTATCAAGCATCTGAGCTCCTGAGAGCAATCCACTCGATCCTTCTTGTTCTAACTCATTAGAATTTTTCTGAATATTTTTGCCAAAATCCTTCTTGTTGAAGCAACTGCTCCCCCGCTGAATTTTTTCGAAGAAAGATTTCCTTCCAATACCATCAATTGAAACTCCTTTAAACTCTTCTCCTCCATCATCATCGCAAGCATAACTCCATTTGTAGCTTTTATTATTGTCCAGACTTAATTCAATGGAACGAATATCACTATCATCTGATTCATCTCCTTGCTTTACTCCATATCCAGCATCCGTATCGTCTTGTTTCTCTACAGGTTCAGATCCCCAACGGCTTCTATTCAAATAAGACTCGAGATCCTTAATTTTTTTCATCAGGGGAGAAACGTCACTGTTTTCACCTTCATTTTTGAGAAAGGCTTCAAGTTCATTTCTCAGCTTTTCCAACACGGCATTTTTCTCCTCAAATTCATACCTAGCCTCTAAAAGTTTCATCTGGACTCTTTCTTCACGCAAAACATTAGCAAACTGAAACATTTCTCGCTCCTTTTCCACCTCATCTCGAACTTTAGCCGACTCTCTTTTCAGTTCTTCTACCTCGGCTCTGTCTTCCTCAATACCTTTAGCTAGTTCATTGCAAATCTGCTCCAGAGTATTCCTTGCCCTTTTCTCTGTTTCCAGCTCTTCAGAAATTTTAAAATGGGAAGCTTTTACATCGGCCATTTCTTGAGCAATCTTCTTGTTTAACCTCTCAATTTGTCTTCTCAGTCTCTTCTCTACCTCAATCTCTTCTGCCATGCGTGACATGGCATGACGAACCTTTTCTCGCTCTCTTCTTTTCCAAGCGGCCTTCGCTTCAGCAAAATTCTTCAGGAGATGCTCTACATCATTCTGTTTTAATCCCTTTTCCTGGATTACTTGATCAATTTGGTTGCAGACTTGATCAAGCTCTCTGCGCAGGCCTAAGATCAGGGGCATGCTTGATGAATTATGTTTGTGAAGGCATATTTGATTTAATGCCTTGAGAAGCTTCTTCGATGTAGATAGGCCTGTTCGAGCTTTGTTCAAACGATTCTTAACTCTAACTGTGTCCTTACTATAAGCGCTATTTCTTGGTTGATCTCCTACCTGAATTTCAACACAAATGATTAGGTCCAATTTAATTTAATATTCAATTTTCACTTACTAAGTGATTAATCAGATCTAAATATTTTCATGTGGCACTGTTAAGTGTGGATCAAATTCATAAATGTTCAAAGACTAACTAAGGGTGAATAGTGGCGGCTTCATCTCAAACAAAGGTCAATGATGTTTCAGTATCAAAAGCCAAAACTTTGGTCTTTGCGAAGCGAAAGGCTACCCTCCATGTTTATGGAAAATTTGATCATTGCGGAACATTAGTCTATTTCCTGTTAGCACAAATCTTAGAAAAGGAAAAAAATGGAAATCAGAATCACGGCCCATATGATTGGAAAATTAATCTAGCCTCATTGAAATTGGCATTGCTAAGATCATCAAATCCTCCCAAGTAGTAATCAGCCAATTGAAGTTTGTGAGATCCTGTCGATACTCTTCTACTGCCCTCACCTTCAAACCCCTTCACTCTCTTCATAATTACTTGCAAAGCAGGTTATATATCAATATTAAGGCACTCCTCATATGGAACCGAGAAAAAAAAAAGTGATATAAAGTATAAACTGACCTCAGACTCACAGATGCGACTATATGATGAATCTGACATATTTGGCTTCGATGAGTCCGCAGCTTTCTGCTTCCACATCTCCTTCTTCTTGCTCCTCACCTTTTCTTCACCTATATCTTTCTTCGCTCTAGAGGTAGGCAAATCATTGATTTCCCACAATGTGGCAGCGAGCTTCCTCCCAAACACTGACAGGTCCTTCTCTTTACCACTTATCACAGAAGAAGACAAAGGCTTTGCGAGTTGGGTCGCCATAGAAGGAGACTTGGTCCTAGTGTTCCACATGGGCACCAAAATTGCTCGCTTAAATCGGTATTTTCGGACCAGAGAAGATGAGGAGGAGGAGGAAGAACCTCGCTTCCTGATCTTGTTGGGCTTGTCACTGATGACCGATTTGTCCAAATTGAGGGTCTGCTGCCGCGAGGACATAGTTGAAAATGATTGAGGGGACTGAACCCAATTTCCCGAATTTGTGAAATTGAGTTGGACGAAGGGCATACACAGACTTCATGGAAGTAGAGAAACAGTTGCGGTCAGCATCATCGTCTTTATTTTTCAGTGTTTCGGGGAGTTGGAAACTCTTAGGCCTTGAATTTAGCGAAGAAAGAAAAGGTGGGTCATGAAAGATCTTCTTCAATCTTGACTCTTGAGCCTCCTCATAGCATATTTCAATGTCTAAAGCGAATTGAAGGTCGACCAAGAAAGAAAGTAGAAACTGTCAGAAAATGAAAAGATACGTTAGAGATAAAAATGGAAGCTTTAGACTTGTCTTTGCTTTAAAAATCTTGAGAGGGAAGGGAAAAGTGGGGGAAAAAAACGATGAAGAGAGAGGGAGAGGACGGAAGAAAGGGACCTACTGCTACAAACATTCCGTTTGTTAAGAAAACGAACAATCCTAAAGCTAGATGTAAATGATAAAAATGGGCGCTCGAAGCTAAATTATGGAAGGAGTACCATAAGCTTTTGGTTCAAGAAGAACTCATTTGGTATTAAAAGTCTAGATGTAAATGGCTGAAATGGGGAGACAAAAATATCAAGTTTTTTCATACTGTTACTATCATTCAGAAGAGGAAAAAAAAGAATAGAGGCTATAAAATCTGAACAAGGTGACTGGATTTTCGATCAATCAATTTTGAAAACCATGGCTACAGACTTCTTTCAAAGGTTATACACTAAAGATGGACACTCTACTGATCCAACAACCATCCCTAGCACATTCCCTTGTCTATCTATTCCAGAGTTGCAAGACATCCATAAAATAATCACCGATGCTGAGATCAAGGAAGATGTCTTTTCAATGGGGGCCTTTAAAGCTCCGGGACCAAATGGTTTAACTGCCTTATTTTATCAGACTCATTGGGAAGCCATTGAAGAAAAAATTTGCAATTTTGTGAAAGAGATTTTTTCTAATCCTTGCAGAATTGAAGAGATCAATCAAACTAACATCTGTTTAATTCTAAAGGTTGATCAACCTTCATGCTTCAAAGAGTTTAGACCCATTTCCCTCTATAATGTAAGCCTGAAGATTGTGACTAAAATTCTTGCTAATAGATTTAAAGGGCATATGGATTTCTTGATCAAGCCAAATCAATGTAGCTTTATTGCGGGTCGTCAAAGTAGTAATAACATCATCATTGCCCAAGAAGCAATTCATGTGATGAGGAAAAAGAACAGACGAAAGAGCTACATGGCGATAAATGTAGACCTCGAAAAAGCTTATGATCGCCTCGATTAGAATTTCATTGCTCATACTCTTAGATGTGTTGGTCTAGGAGAACACCTCATAAATGTCATAATGGCTTGCATTAGTATAGCCTTGATGAAGGTGAATTGGAATGGTGAGCAGTCCCCTGAATTTAAACCCTCAAAAGGGATTAGGCAAGGTGACCCACTTAGCCCTTATATTTTTGTGCTGTGTATAGAGCGTCTGGGTATGATGATTCATCATTTGTGTGAGACTAAAAGGTGGAAACCTTTAAAGCTGTCCTTGAAAGGGCCACAAATCTCCCATCTTTTCTTTGCTGATGATCTCATTTTATTTGCTGAAGCATCATTAGATCAAGCATCCCTAATCAAACAGACCATGGAAAATTTTTGCAAAGCTTCAGGGCACCATATGAATTTGAATAAAACTAAATTGTTTTGCTCCAGGAATGTTTGCTACCAGCGTAGCTCAGAGCTAAGTCAAAATTTAGGAGTTGGACTAACGTCAGACCTTAGTAAATATTTGGGAGTCCCTCTTCTTCAAAAGAAAGTCAGTAAAGGTATATTCCTTCCCCTTCTCTAAAAGGTTCACCAAAGATTATCTTCTTGGAAGAGTACCTATCTCATTATGGCCGGGAGAACAATTTTAATCAAATCTGTCATTTCTTCCCTTCCATCTTACCTTATGCAAACCATATTGATTCCTAAAGGTATTTTGATGGAGATTGAGAAATATTGTAGGAAGTTTCTTTAGAAGAACAGGGAAGATCAAAGAAAGCTTCATCTATTCTCATGGAGCAAAGCAAAAGAACACAAGCACATAGGAGGGCTTGGCATAAAAGATCTTCATACCCAGAACAGAGCCTTCGTTATGAAACTTTGTTGGGCTCTACTCACTAAGCCTGAGTATTTATGGGTGCAATGCTTAAAGGCAAAGTATCAATGTGGAACGAGTAAATACCCAACAGTGATGAAAAAACGATCAGCGTCTCATATATGGAATAGTATCTGTAGAGTTTGGGAAACCTTTATGCAGGGGGTCAGAAGGAAAGTCAAGAATGGTACTACAACAAGTTTTTGGTGGGATCATTGGGCTCCGCTAGAGCAACCATTGATTACATATGTTTCAAGAAGGGATCATCATCTCGACCCACATGCTAAGGTGTGTGATTTTATTCTTCCTTCAAGCGCTTGGAATAGAGAGTTCTTACTCAGATTCTTCTCTATGGATATAGTTAACCGTATATCCACTGTCCAACCTTGTCTTAGCATACTTGAGGATGTGTTCTGGTGGAGAGCTAGTGGTGATGGTAACTTCACAGTAAAGTCTGCTTATAACTTCCTAGTTAGAAATATGGCTGCTAGTCGAAGTTTGGTTTGGAAATATCTGTGGAAATGGGATTTACCGAAAAAAGTAAAATTCTTCTTTTGGCAGGTTATACATGAGAGAATTCCTGGTAACCTTTTGAGAGCAAAGAGAGGGCTGACTTCGGATCCAAATTGTCCTTTCCAATGTGGCAGTGAGGAGAGCACTATACACATTTTGAGAGATTGCATGAGAGCAAAAAACACATGGAAGGAAATTATAAATCCTGTTTTTCATGACCACTTTTTCTCGTGCAGCTTACAGGAATGGATAGACTGGAATACTAAGCATCATATTGGTGGTAGACAAGTCCAAAAATAGCCATGGGTGAAAGTCTTTGGTCAAGTTTGTTGGTCATTGTGGACGCATAGATGTAAGGCAGTTTTCGAAGGAACACAATACAACACAGGGAATGTCTTGCATGCTTGCAGAAGGAAACTAATGGAGGAGAGAGATTTACAGACCCTTAATTTGCCGTATGGTACTACCAATGAATTGCATGAATACAAATAGACTCCACTACCACATGGGACACTTAGAATATGTAACACACCAAATTTTTTTTTTTAAATAATTTAACTCAACCATAGTTGGGTTACAGCCACCCAACACATTTTTATATCAATAATTTCAATATAAAATATTTTATAATTGGCTTCAACTCACACACTATAACATTTCGGATAAATTTTTACCTCCCACATGCCATTAGGCTAAATCACATTTGTCCATCCTTATACTCCCAACAAGTAAAATAAGCAATTTAATAAATTTTCAACACAAGCCAGTTATTTGGCCTTATAATCATGCCATTTTAACCAATCCAAAGTAAACCAAATATTAAAATTACAGTCATCCAAATTGTACCAAAAATAGAAATAGTTTGAAAGGCATGATTACATTTATATATTGATATAATTGACAATAAACAAAAAGCCCTATTATTGGCAATATAACATATTATAAATCATAAATTAAATACCCAAAAGAGACAGTGGATCTATACCACTAAGCCTCTGGGACTCCTCCACGTGTAACTCGTGGCTCTTCTCCTGAAAATTGTTAACCACATAATGAGACTCAAAAGTCCCAGTAACCAAAGTCAATTTATGATAGTGTATATAAACAGTTAAATGTGTGCTTACTAAGTGAGAATTAAAAATAATATAATTCCAACAAATATAAAAAATATTACAATACACACAAACAACCATCCTTATATCCCTCCATTAACCTCGAGCCGTAGCCCTCACTCGGTGCTAAATTACCCGGCCAAAGGTAGATTAGCCCGAGCCCTTACAAGCCACCTATTGAGCTCCAATAGGGGCGTACCACGTGGCACATAAATACAACAATAATAGCAAGTCTCCCAACACCTCCCACAATAATTAAACAAATTCATAATAATATTGCACAATTATACAATATTACAAAATTCATAATTTTCTCAATAATCACCCAATTAACAAGAAGTAACACTAATCACAAATTAAAAGCATGGTTACCTTGTGGCTTTTTCAATAAATTATTCCTTAAAATTTCTCTCTCACCACATTCTTCACCAGTAATACAATCTACAAATAACATATTATTTATAAATATTAGTTTCAATTTTTGAAACTAATAAAATAATTCTAATAATAGAATTAAAAATATAACATAATTTCTAATCTCAATCTTAATACAAATTTAGAGTTAATACTATTAAGTAAAATTTTTAACTCCTCTTTTAATTATCAATAAACATTAATAATCAAAAAAATTAGCTTCTAAACTAATTTCTATTATCAAAATTTTCTTTTTATTTCATAAATTCGTACCTAAAATACTCAAAAATTAAAAATTGAGTCTCTAGCTTAGAATCATAATCCTATAACCATAATAATTCATTTCTCGTCCCAAATAATCATCTAAACCTCAATAAATCAACATATATTTTCAGATCTAGTTTAGAATTTGATCCATAAGCCACAAATTCAAAGATCATCAATAAATTTATACTCTAGAACATTTATTATACTACTGACAACCTCAAAAATCATATTTATTCAACATAAATTCATCCCTCTTCCAGATCTTAAATTTTCTACCACTACAAACTCAGAAACTAAAGAAGAAGGATGACTAAGAAAAAATTTTAGAACACTTACTTAGTCTTGAAAAGCTTAAAATCACACCCTAAATATCCTATTAAAAATTCTTACCTTAAAACCCAGCACCGGTGAACTTGGCTCACAGATGCTCTCTCTGCCTCAGCTCACGCACGAAAGAAGGAATGAAGAAATGAAGGAACAGGTGAGTTTTTATAAAATTTCAGTGGGTCCCACACATTTTTTTTATTCTTTTCTCTCTCTTCTTCTTCTTTCTTTTTTTTTATTATCATTTTATTTTACTATTGAGGCGGCCGAAAGCATTCACGTTTTATTCCTTCTTCTTCTCTTTTTTTTTGCATACCTTTTCCCTTTTTTATTATAATAATAATTTAATAATATTTTTTTATTATTTTTTTTAATAAAATTTTTTTAAAAAATTTTTTTAATTTAGAATTATATCCTAAATTAGATTTAATAATCATTTTCTACTAATTTTCTTACCTCTAAATATTATTATTTATTTTTTTTAAATTTCTATTAACCCAAATTAACTATTAAAATTTAAATTGGGATGTTACAGAATAGATGTTGA